GGGGAATTCTGGGAGTTGAAGTCCACTCATCTTAAAGTGGCCAAATTTGGACAACACTGCTTTAAAGGATATAATCCTGCAATCCTGGAAAGATTTGATGGCACACAGTCAGTCAGTATCTTCTTTGGAATCTTTTTTTTTTAAATAAAGTTTGTGCATATAATAAAGGAAGCCTAAAACATATCGGAAAAAGATTAGTTGATTTGTTGATTTGTTAATGTTTGTACAATATCAAACTCAGTATATGCATTTTATAGTGCTGCAATTTTTAATAAGCAACATCAAAAAGGAATTAAGAGAGAAGTGCAACAGCACCAATAGATAGAAGAGGACAGAGAATTCAGTGAGCCAGAGTTGTAAAAATGATTTAATATACGATAAAAGGTATGGGGGAAAGGAGGGAAAGTGTAGCCTTTTCGCCACCATTTTTTTAAAGAACAAATCCTACTTTTGATAATAAAAGTGAACCACCAACCAAGTTTAAATATAAGGCCATTGGGAAACTCCCCCCCCGCCCTCATTTAAGTTTGGCTATTTTTAGGAGATAATGGCTTACCTATCACCACTTCTCCTTCCCTTTTTCTCATAGTCTCTTTGATTTGCTTAAAAATAAAAGAGAACTATAGCTCAACGGTAGACCACATATTGTTATACAGAAGCTCTCAAGCTTGATCTCTGGAAATTCCAGATAAGATTCTTGTTATAAACACTGGAAAGCAAAATCACCAGTCATTAAGATATATTGGCCAGTGATCTGACTTAGTATAAGACAGTTTTTGTAGCTGATAATTACCTGACACTATGTCATTCAGTAATCACATTTCTGAGTATAGTAAATACAAGTAGAGGGATGAATATTTTTTTAGAAGCATAGTTTTTGTATATAAGAGCAAACATTTAACACAGCCCTAGTAATAATTGTGTGAAGCATGTTAATATTTTATGTCTACAGAAAATACTGTGAAAGGATGCTTCATTTATAAGCATTCCAAATTGCTATTTCAGAAGTTGGCACTTTTTCCATTTTTCCTGTGTTAAAGATGAAGTATTTGCTTGTCATATAATTATAATTTATAAGTATCAAAAGTGTATGCAATGTCTCCTTATTTATCAATTCTCCTTAAAAAGACACTTACAGATCTGAGTATTTGGATTTGAACAGCTCTTTTAGTAATGTTTTTATTCTAGAGTTCATTTATTTCTGGAAATTAATAGATTTTTAAAGTATTATTAGATGATTTTATATTTTAGTTATTCAGTCAGTCAGTCATTTATCAAATTTTGAGGCTGCCAAACTCCTGAACAACTCTGGGTGGCTTATAATAAAACATGAAATATATAAAAAGAATGCAACTGACCTGAAGAACAAAACATCAACCAGAATCAAAATAAAACAAGTTTTATTTATTTATACTTTAGATTTCTAAGGCTGTCTAACTGAAAATGGCTCTGGATTGCATATAAATTAAAAACAAAACTACAGTAATAGGCAATCATCATGAACAAACCGAGCATAGCTCAATTCAGGGGAACATGCACTTCAACCTATCAGAGGACCTGGAGTAAACACCAGGTCTTCAAGGCCTATATAAAGAATAGCAGGAGGTTGGGACTGTTCAAACCTCTAGGAGTATGGTGTTCCAGAGAGCAGGTGCCCCAACAGAGACGACCTATTTCTTAGGCCCATCAGAGAGCACTGCTTAAGAGATTGGTTGCAAAGTAAGCCTGTTCTCAGATTATATGGGACAGGCAGAAGTAATGGAAGAAAGTCAGTCTTTCAGATAATCAGACCCTATGCCATGAAGGTCTTTGTGGGTGATAACCAACACCTTGAATTGCAGCTGGAAGCTCACTGATGACCAGTGCAGCTCTTGCAGCAGAAGTGTTATTTTGGGGTATTGAGGCTCATATCCTGTATTCTGGAACAGCTCTACTTTCTAAGTGGTCCTCAAGGCCGACCCCATGTAAAGTACACTGCAGTAGTCCACAAGTAAGATAACTCAGACATGAGTGGCCAGGAGAAGGGACTCACAGTCAGGAAAGGTGCATTTGTGTCAGGTTCAGCCCAAACAACTCCACGAGACAGTGCAAATACAGTTCTGTTGCGTTTATTAGCTTCCACCTCAAGACAGAAATCTCTCCAGACTGAACCTAAGTTCCCAAGCCAGCAAGCCACAACACCGTGAATTCCTTAGGGTGGTGCCAGTCTCATCTTCTTAAACTTCCCACGCTCCTGTTGGGGGCTAAGGAAACGCTTATCTCCCTGAGCATGCCCTTCATAACACCATTCCATCACAATTTGGTGCATCAGATGAATCTGTGCAAAGGCCTTCCTGGGTGCAGCTGCTACCTACTCTTTGAGCAGGAGCTGTGAGTCCAGGAAGACCCCCATATTGCACATCAGTTTTGTGTGGGGAAGTACAACCCCATTCAGAACTAAAGATGGAAAATCTCCCATACTGAAAGAACCATGAACCCATAGCCATTCAGTCTTGTTGGGGTTCATCCTGCCCTCCCAATCCAGACCCTGACAATCTGTAGGCACTGGGTCAAGACTTTCACAGCATAATTTGGTTGACCAGGAGTCAAGGTATCATTTGCATATTTATGATAACTGACCTGTGTTGACTTAAGACTTCACCCAGCAGTTTCATGTAGATTTTAAAGAAGAGGGACAAGAACATTGAGCCCTGTAGCTCCCTGCAAATTAGGGTTTGGGCTCAACTCCTTACCCAATCAACCCCAACTGGAACCAGTCATGAAGAAAGGAGAAGAACCACTGCAACATCATGGTCCCCATTCCCAGTCCCTGTAGTTGGTCCACTTCTCATTTTAGTTTTCAGTTTAAAACTAGCAGTTCTCAGGAAGAAAAAACAAAATTGTTTTTATATTTCTTAAGGTTTCACAATAAATTATAAATGGATAATTAATCTGCTAGCTAAATTGTACAGTTTTGTGTAGAAACATAAGACTAAACAACTTTCTGAAACTTTCAGAATTAATATGGAAAAATTATGAATTTTTAATAGCATTAAAAAGATGGGCATGCTAGAATTCTGATATTATTGTGATTTGTACAGCTATAGAGAAATGATGATTACTTATATTAAGTAATTACTTAAATTACTTATATGAAGCAACCTGCTTAGAGCATAATGTCGCATTTGAGGGTATATTAGACATCACAAGCTTATACTTTTTCAATTTTTTCTCTTTGGAAGGTAAAGAAAGTAGTTACTTTAAAAACACCAGCTGAACCAAAGAGAATTCTGGTGTCATTTCTTTTGATCAATTATGCAAAACAAGATGATACTGCTTTGTTCCCAGTGGCTTCCCTGCTTTTGGAATATAAATGTATTTAGATACATTTCAATAGTTGTATTCTGTTTAAACAAGCTTCTTAAACTTGATTCATGTGTATGGTTATAACTTCTTTGTAAAATGTTTATTGCAATGTTATAAGTCATACTCAACAGAATGCAAATTCATGAATTCTTGTCCTATTCGTTCATATCCCTTTTGAGTCTTGCCACATAGGTGAGGTGAAGAGGGCCAGAGCTTGCAGGCAATATTTCTCTGTTGCAGCCCCATAGTGTGGAACACCCTTCTTCTTGACATTAGTTTGGCACTCTCATTGTTGGCGGTCCAAAAACTGTCAAAGACAGAGTTGTTCCAGAGGGCCTTTGGGGAATGTTTTTTTATTTACTTGTGCTTTTACTGGCCTTTACATTTTTATTCTGATTTTATGTTGTAAACCATCAGGAATTATTTTGGTTGAATCTGGCAATATGTAAACACAATAAATAAATAGCAAATACAATACATGGTTCTAAGATACTGATTAATTTTAAACTTTATTTAGATTAATAGGATTAAAACCTGAACCTCGAAGTACTGCTTCAACTAATACAAATACTCCACAGCCTATGAATAATACAGTCCATTATTTGGCATTGGCATTGCTTCAAATACAGCAAGGAATTGAACGCAAATTTCTCAAAGCCCCACTTGGTAAGTGTCTTCTTCTGGAATTTGGTTCATTCAGAATTATCTATGAAGAAAAGAGTAGTCTGGATCAAAAGGATATGTTAACAGATTGCATAGCAGATGTATTAAACAATTTGTTACAATTAGAAATATGTAAGGAAGTTGGAGCTCTAGAATTGTTACTGTATTCTAGAGACAAGTGACTGGAGCACGTGTGCAAAGGTTATTCATAAAATGAGCAAAAAAGTTGTTTTGAGCTTGGAACACAACAATCCCCATTAGAATAGACTGTTGGAATATTTCCAGCAGACTGTTCCAGTGAACCAAAAGTTCAGGGCTCAGGGTTCTGCCACTGGGAACAGTGGGAACTCCAAACAAGTCCTACTCCCTTATTTTTCATCCTGGCCAAAGGATGTGATCTTAAAAGGAATTGAAAACCCCTATAATAAATAGTAGGAGCAATAGTTAAGCACTCTTGTAGCAGCTTCTCATAATCATTAATCAGAAACAAAAATAAAAATACATTCACCTTAAACTTGACTTAAAATAAACAGTCCAGTTTAGCTTAATATAACCATCACATGAGGAGTACAACAGACTCTGGTGCAGAACTTTCTAGATAATCTTCTGCTAGGCAATACTGTACTGGATATAGAATTCTTCATTCCTACAGACACATTATCTAGGAGGAAGGGCAATAACTTTTTGAGAGTCCCAGTAGTAACAACTGTAGCAACACATGGGCCATTAGCTCTATATCCTCTTCCTTTCACAAGCACAAATGTGTTTTATATGGGGTTTGATAATCTGTCTTCTAGCAAAATGAAAGAAAGCTATTCAAATTAGCCATGATAAAAAGCTTTCTTTGTGTAGGGTCAACGAGGATGAAGTGCTGCAGAGTGTCTATTTCTAGTCCCCCCAAAGGAATAATGCTTAGGCATCAAAAGTCTGTTTCATTTTGTTTTTTAATGGAGATCACTATCCCCATGTTACCCAATTGCTGCCTTAGTTTTATGGAACCCTATTATAGCAGCAGATTCTGGGACAAATCTATAAGCCAGAAGTATGACCTCCAAACTCACCTTCTGGAAGGATTGAAAGTTATTCTGAAAATTTAGGGAACCAAGTCTACTGGAAAGAATAGTAATTTTAGCCTGTAATGATATGCTACCACTTGTGCCTAGTTTTTTCCATAGGTTAATACAATTTCTAAGTCTCTGTAGCTTGAGAAATTTAGAAAAAGAAGATAACCGCTGGAAATTGAAAAAATACTTGAAACAATGTGGAATGGAACTCCTTAAATTGTCCCAAGCTCAGGATAAAACACCCTGTAACATGGGATGTATTATACTGAGTGTGAGATATTTTGGACATCCCTAATACATACAATCATCGTCCTGCCAAAAAAAGGATGAATGGATTGTGTGAGTATTCTGACCATGATGAGACCAGAAAATTCATTTTATTGCCTCACTTTGTAAGATTTTGTAATACTCACTTTGTAAGACTCACTTTGTAAGACTGGGCAAAGTGTAGTCAGTTTTAAAATGTTGAATAATTCAATGATAGGAATGCAACATGTGCATTCCCAGCATATACAATTTGTTTTAATTTTTTTTTGTTCTGACATAACTCTGGATAAGGAGGCAAAGCATGATATATGTAGTGGAGTACTGAAAATATTTGCAAAACAGCAAAAATCGCAATCATTTAGGTAATAAACGTTGCTGTACTGAAAGACAATGTCACAGATTTCAGCCACACTGTTTTATCTTCCCTTTCTCCTCCCCGCCCAAATGGTCCTGGTTCCTATAGCAATGTAATCTGCATATTTTTGGAAAAATAGGCTATGCTAGTGAAAGGTTCTCTTCTGTTTCCAAACGGACTTGAAATAACTAGGTGATGCAGAAGAAAATAAGAGAGACCAAAAAGGTGATAAAAGGAGGAAGAGAGAAGAAGATCAGAGTAAAGATGGTAAATTATAGATTTTCTTCCATTTAAAAATTTGCTCAAAATTTATGACATAGTATATTTCACAAGAAATGATACTTATGTAAATAATTTGAAGATGAAATATTTTCCCAAACGATTGCTTTCCATAGAGCGCATGGCAGTAATCCAGTTTTATAACTAAGGCTAATGTAACTGGCACAAGGTGGAATTGCCTTCTCCAAAAACAAATGTGTCTGGGTAACAAAACTGGGTAAAAGTTCTGTTAGACACAACTGATTGATGACCTACCAGGAACCTGATTATTTCAAAGGAGTGTGATTATATCCAAAGTGAATAGCATCATCATGTTGGAGGTTTTCTTAACAAAAAAGTTTTTCTCTTTTCTGGACTAAGCTTCAATTTGGTCACAGTCCTTTAATCTGTTATTAATTTCAGGCATTAATATAGATTTTTCATGCTGCTAGACCAGAGTAAGATTACATTTTGTTTGGCCTTATTTTTTTTTTCTGCTTGAAGCTATTTTAGTGCATCTAGGAACTCTTAAATAAGTCGTGGAAGAATCAACCCTTCCTAATATTTTATCTCCCAACTAACAGGCATTTCAAAGCATCTTGCCCCTCTAATTGATTAGTTTTTCATAAATGTATCTAATTCTTTTGACATTACAAGAAAGAAAAGAGGCATTATAGTTTAGTAAAGAGTAACTGGTAACTCTTGAAGCTATATTTGATTATGTGCAGATGAATTAATGTTCTGGACTGTAGGGAGTCAGTAAGCAGGTTCATCACCAAGTATCTGATCTCCTGATATAGATGAATTACTAGAGAAAAACTAGTACAGTATGCATGTTTATTTAGAAGGATAAGGATATTTTCAGTCTGTGCTACTGAAGAGGACTATTGCAATCAAAGGCCATTGGGGTAAATTTACTAATTCTATTAATCTGTTTTTCACATTTTAGATACCATTTAACCTTGTTACGTCCATCCAATTGTTATAAGCCATCCGTCCGGTATACAGACTCATAATGGTATAGGGATTATAGATATTTTGTAATTTTATAGATTATTTTAAAAATAGTTTCTTGAATAACAACTTCTGTGAGGATTATAGCTGAAGTAGGACTACAGAGAAACTACTAACACTATACTGTCTATAATCTATACTTATCCTCTGTTGCCTGATCATTAACTAATGTCTGATTTCTCATTTATAATTTTTCCCTGTCTCCCATCACTGAGTTTAGCCTTCGGTGAGCAATGTTTTCTAAAACTTTTTAGAATTCCAAGTGTTCCTATCTACCAAATGATTCAATTTAGTTCATTTAACACTCTGAAAAAAGTTAGAGAGAGAATAAATTAAGAATTACAGAAACTAGTACATTACTTTTAAACAAGGCTGATTATTCTGCATATTTTTGTGCTATGCAAGTAGCACTAGAATACAGATGTTTCACTGGATAATAAATAGTATGGTATTATTTGTTTTCTTTGTTGGAAGATGGCAGTGATGGTGGCCGTTCACATAAAACAGTCTTGGATCGCTGGCGAGAATCACTCCTTTCTTCTGCTAGCCTCTCTCAGATCTTTCTTCATCTCTCAACATTGGAGCGAAGTGTAATCTGGTCTAAGTCCATTTTAAATACTCGGTGCAAAATGTGTAGAAAGAAAGGAGATGCTGAAAGCATGGTGCTATGTGATGGCTGTGATCGAGGCTATCATATCTACTGTATAAGACCAAAGCTTAAGGTAATTTGAAGTATTTTTTAAAAAAGATTAAAAGTTATTTCTGATCTTGTAGCAAGAACATTTCAGTAATGCATTTTGGCTCTCTGTTAGGCTGTTCCTGATGGAGACTGGTTTTGTCCAGAATGTCGACCTAAGCAGCGCTCTAGGCGTCTTTCATCCCGACAGAGACCTTCTGTAGAAAATGATGAAGAGGCTATAGAACAAATTGAAGAGGAGGATGAAACTAGTTATGAGGAAATTGGGCAAAGTGAAGATGATTATGAAGAGGAAGAAGAGGAGAATATTGATAATTATGATTCTCAAGAAGAAGATGAAAAAAGGTAAATCAGAAACTAAGGTAGCCATATGCAGAAGCTGCATACAGACTTCCAGTATTCTCTACAGTCTTCTGTCTAGGGATACAAATCTTGAGACTTGGAGATGTGAGCAAGAGAGCATGCTTGTATAATAGTTTCAAGTACTTCAGTACAGAATGCTTAAGACAGTTAATATACTTGCTTTTAAAATGCTGTGATCTATTTTTATGAAAGTATAGAACATCTTAAAATAATTACACTTTACATCTGTATCTCTTTTAGTATCATTGAGATAGGCTAAATCCAGGTTTAAATCTTTGCACATTTTATAGAATCATAGAATGTGGAGGAACTATTTAGGCCACTAAATCCAACTTCTTCCTCAGTGTAAGAATCCAAATTAAAGCCTGTACTTGCTCACACCCAGTGAAAATTGCTAATCTCCTTTGCAAATAATTGGTTCTACTACTGAACTGCTTTTAACATTAGGAAGGTTTTTTAACATCTAGCTGCATCTGTATTCCTATACTTCAAGACCCTTATTCCAAATTTGGCTGCCTTCTGTGTGTTCTCCCTTCAGATCCTTGAAAAATGCAAGTTCAGTCAACTTCTTTGAACTGCTGCTATGTATACATATAGTTTTAGTAAGGGTATGCTGATGTAATAAAAAAGGATAATTTTCTTGAATGAGTATTTTTTCCCTTTGATTCCTGATGACTACATGGATAAGTCTATTATTACTATTACTATTATTATTATTATTGATAATAATTATATATTTTATTATAGACCCCCCACTCCAAAAGACTCTGGGTGACTTGCAACATCCAATATACAATTTAAAAAGTCACCCTCTGGGGGAGATGGGCAGCATACAAATTTAATAAATACATACGTACATACATACATACATACAATTAAAAACCTAACAACAAAGCATAACAGCCCAGACAAAAACAGCCATAACAACAGAAAAACACGGCACTAACAAACTGACCCCAGGTCTGGGAACAGAGCCAGGTCTTAAGAGCTTTCCAGAACTACGTCGTTTTCTTGCCAACATTTTTCAGAAGTAGTTTGCCATTGCATTCTTCCTAGGGTTGAGAGAGTGACCAGCCCAAAGTCACCCAGCTGCCTTTGTGCCTAAGGCACTTCTTCCTCAGTGAAGTCTCCTGATTTCTAGCCCAGTGCCTTTAACCACTGCACCAAAATGAGTCCATATAGATAACTTTTTTCAATTTTTATTTTTCAATAATATGATAATCTTCTAGAATTAGTCTTTTTATATTATAAAATACTTAAGTAATTCTAATATTTTTGTATATGTGCTTTCAACTAGCAAGTAAAATAGGGATAAAGACCTGATTGTGTCTAAGCACATTAACCTATTTATAGGTAGCTCATTTAGTGAGAGAGATGGACTACTCTTGATTGCACATTCTCTAAAGGATCAGTTGTACACAGTCTGGATTGCTTCTAGATGTAGAGTTGTGACTGAAGGTCTGTGTAGTCATTTGATGTTCCCTCCCTAATAGTGTTGCTGTGCCAGAGATAGCTCCTCTCAGATATAAATAAGTAATTCATCCATATTCCAGAAACCACCAATTTAGAGTACTCCATTATACTACACTTCAAGCTATTTCTTGAAGATTTGTTTAGAATTTTCAGCTAGGTAAAAAAAAAAGTAAGACTTTTGACGGAATTACTAACTAGAAAATGTATTACCAGATTTTAAACATTTTCATTGCTTATTGCTTATCATATTTAAATCCCTGCATGACTTGGGTATGTAAAGAAATACTAATATCCATTTTGGAACGTCCTTGTGCTAAAATTACCATCTTTGGAAACCCTCATTTGGGTGCTTTGAAATCAGAAATGATGAAGTAGCTGATGATTCTAAAATGGGATTTCTCCACTGCAATGCACTGTTTATATATAAACTTAAGAAATTGAATTTCTCACTGAATTTATCTTACTTTTTCACAACTTTAAAGAATAAATTTAAAAAAATTATCTTACTGAATTCACAACTTTAAAGAATGAAACAAAATAAAAATGTTTGTATGACAAACATTTATAGTTCTCTCATTTCTTACAGCTTATCCAAACTAGGAAAGCCTCAAGTAAAACTTGCTTTAAGAACAAGAGCCACAAAACTTGCCACTGCCATCTCAGGTCAATGTAATCATCTGAGTACTGGAAGATACAATTCTCGGAGTCAGCAGAATACACCTAAGCAAACTGGCTCTTCGTATAAAGCTGTTGGGAAGAGCACCAGAAAAACAAAGTCTGCTCCTCCCTCAGTGACAAAATCATTAAGATTTAACAGTCGTATTACTCGCCATAATCGAGACATGCTGGAAGCAGATGCATTTATAGAGTTGACCAGCCATCGAAGGCGACGTAAAGGAACAAAGACAACAGACAATACTCTAGAAAGTAGTCCTTCTGGTTCCCTGGGCTTCAGAATTGTTGATGCTATGAACTTAAGGAAAGAGAAAAGCTCTCCAATTTCAGTAGGAAACAAATTGCAAAATACAGACCTCCCCAAAAGGGGTAGGAAACGTCAATCTACAGGTACATTGAATCTTTAAATGAAAATAAAATTGCAGGAATAGATTCAGCTCATATTCAGTATCACTTGGTTGCCTAGTGAAATAGTCCAATGTTGCTTTCCATTATTAAGAATGGAGAGCAGTTAATTGGTGAATTTCCAAGCATGAAATTATTTGTGACAATATAGTAGAATGCTTTTCTAGTTTGATTTAGGATAATTTGGGTAGAAGGGTGGAGATGCATAATTGAATGGTTTCAACTGCAATTATTTTTGGTTTCTTATGCTTATTGACTAACCAGCCACATAACATGTTGAAAGCAAACAGAAATCAGGATCTGAAAATGCTTGGAATAGCAATTATAGTTGAAAATGTCTAAATAAAATATTATACATTGGTGACATGGGTTTTTCTCAGGGTGGGCAATTGATAATACTTGCATGAAGACATCATTGCGATTTTGCTGTAGACACCACTGATTGGTGAGAGTATCTTTGTTGGAAGAGTGAGCTGTTTTTTGCACCTACTTTCGTGAACTGACAAGCAGCAGGAATTGAAACAAATTAGTACAAGTACCAGTACAACTTTCTGTTTCCTGATCTTGTTTTTCTTTGTCATAAAATGAAACCAGTCAGGCTCAGAACAATTTATCTATACTTATACAATATAGAATTGTAAAAAGTACTTTTTCTTTCTTGCTTTCCAATTCTGGTAACACAGAGTCTAGCTGTGTAAATAGTCACATCTTAGATGGATATTCTCATTTTGGGAGATTAATTGGCAAATGAAATCTCTTTTAATTTAACTTATTTGGCTGAAGCACTTGGGATTGGGTTATGTCTGCCACTGTGGAAGCAAGTAATAAATGAAAACTATATAATCATCCTTAGTATACAGGTAGTCCTCATTCAGCGACCACTCATTCAGCAACCGTTCAAAGTTACAACAACACTGAATGAGGGGACTTATGACCATTCCTCATGGTTGCAGCCACTGCAGCATCCCTGCGGTCAGGTGTTCATGATTTGGGCACTTGGCAACTGGCTTGCAGTTAGAACAGTGCAGTGTCTCACTGTCATGTAGTTGCCATTTGCAACCTTCACTGCTGGCTTCCACCAAGCAAAGTCAATGGGGAAGCTGGCAGGAGGTTGCAACTGGCAATCACATGACTGCAGGGCACTGCAGCCACATGGGAGTCACCTAATGACGGCAACTGGAACTGCTGCAACTGCCATCATAAGTCGGTGCGGTCACATGACATCACGCTTTACAACCGCATCGCTTAGCAACAGAGTTGCCAGTCCCAATTACCATAATTGAGCGAGAACTACCTGTAGTTCTAAGTCCTTAACAAGCTTATAATGGTGGGTATATTAAACTTCCTCTGCTTTCTTTATATTTTGTCTTTTTTTATGTCCATATGTGATCCTGTTATTCCAGAACCTTCTCAAATGCCATTGAATCGGAGAAGTTCAGGGCGACAGGGTGGAGTACATGAATTATCTGCTTTTGAACAGCTTGTTGTAGAACTGGTCCGACATGATGACAGTTGGCCTTTTATGAAATTGGTTTCCAAAATACAGGTAACTAATAATTTCAGAATAGTAAAATAATTTACTTGAATGTACATTTATCAGAAATAATTTCAAGGAAAAATGGCTATATGTAAATGAAATGTTGTCTTCGTAAATAAGTTATACTAGGAAGGAAAATTGCTGATAAACATATTAGGTTAATAATTAAAAATAGGCCTCATGTTGAAGACACTGAAAAATGAAAACCTTGTAAACTTCTTGACTTACATACTAATAAGCAAAATTCAAGTTATAGAAATAATCAAATTACACTTGGGAATTCTTTCCTTCATCCAGGCTTGCCAATAAAATTAATTCTGCAAGTAGATGGCAGTGTTATGATAGAAAGTAGAGTATGCATCATTATAGAAAAAAACGTTGATGCTTCTCAGAGAACTTAACTCTAATGGACCAGAAATTATTATGAATATGTGAAATAATGATCCATAATGTTTCTTTAGACAAGACAGCTATTGAAGAATGATACAGAAAAGAAAAGATATAATAAATTAAGTCTCAGCAGATGACAGTGTGTATCTGACTTGTCCAGGCTCAGAAGCTAAACAGTGTTGGACCAGCTGGTATTTAGATGAGATACAGAGAATACCAGGGCTGTAAGATAGACTGGAAAGTTAAAAAAAAATATCTAAAGCTCTCTGGGGGAGATGGGCAGCATATAAATTTAATTAATATATTAAAAAATATAAAAATAAAAAAAAATAATCCCAGACAAAGGCAGTGGCAACCACTTCCATATTCTTGTCAGGAAACCTATGTGGAAGTGTCTAGGAAGTCACAAGTTGACTTTGAAAGAAATTTCACTTTTAAGTATTATTACATGTGCTATTTGAATTTTAATTGAAAAATAGCAAATATGCTGTTAGATTTATACAATCAGTGACAGGCTAGTCTTGATAGGTAATATGGATGCAGAACTAAATAACATGGGTATTGTTATTAAAATCAACTATATAATATTGCTCAGCAAAACAGCAGTAATTAGCTAAACTTGGTGCTCTCAAAAAGCAAAGCAGGATTAGGCCTTGTTACTGCTCAGAGAGACCACTGTAAACATTCAGAATATACACTGGTGCTTAGAAGTTTCTGAACCCATTTAAATTTTCAGTATTTCTGCATAAATATGATCTAAAAAGTGATCTGTTCTCCACACAAGTCCTAAAATTAGATAAAGAGAACCCAATTAAACAAATGAGTCCAAAACATTAAACATTATACATATTTATTTATTGACAAAAA